ATTTTCTCTAAATATTTCAAGCGGTGTTTTTTCTTCTTCTAACATTTCATTACTATCTAAATCTCCTTGATGTTCTTCAAGCTTTAGTTCTTTTATATTTTTTTTTTCTCTACAAGCTTTGGTAAAACTTTTTTCAATTTCTCTGAATTCTCTAAATTCGAATAGACCAACAACTTCTTTTGGTAAAGTACCTCTTCCCCAAGCTGCAATTTTTCGTTTACAAGTTAAATCACATTTATCACATCTTTGATTTATATCAAAAAAATCACATCGACAATTTGAGTGTTTCTTATACCGATTATATGTTTTTAACGAATAATCTCTATTTTGAATAGATGTGCCACCTAATAAAATTGTATATACATTTGAGCATGTAATTTTTCATTCTCAGTTGGTTCAAATTTCCAAACAATATAAGAAACTTTATCCTTAATTTTTTCATATTCTTCTTGTGTAGTTGGTAAAACACGACGACATTCAATATTTTTTTCTTTACAATGACAACATACAATATTATTACATTTGTTCAAATTGCAACAATTTGTATATTTATTATCAGGACAATGCCAATGTTTTTCTTGACATAAATTACAAATTGGAATTCCATTTTTCTTATATTCTTCTTCACGATTCTTTTTATCTTTTTTAGATGATATTTTTTCACATTTAAATTTTTCTTTACAAGGAATACAATGATAAGTAGTAGCTTGATTATGTCTAAACTCATTTATTGCCATTTTTTTATTTTTTTTCTGTCCCTAGGAATTTTAACTCTTTATATACTTTTTATAATATAATAAAATATTAAAATATTTTTTTTATAAACAATACTTTAACTTGGTAAAAATTAAAAAATAATTATAGAAGACAAACAAAAAAATCTCAACGAAACTCCAAAAATTTTAAAAAAAATAACTAAATTCAATATCTACAAAATATTTTCTAGTAAAAAATAAAAATCGAAAATAATCTTAATTTAGCAATTCTTTTTTAGTATAAAATACTTATATAAAAATTATGTAATAAACAAAAGAATTAAAAAAGAATTACTGTATAAAGAAATACTAAATAAGTAAATAGTATATTAGTAGTTAGATATGTAGTTTTACAATATTTAATGCTTCTTGAAAACAAGAAATTATTTTATTGATAAAAGAATTTTTGTACAAAACGAATTTTCGTGTTTTAAAGATTTAATATACCAAACAAAAATTTTTTAATGATCAAAATATAATAAAATAATGTAAAAAACATGCTAAATAATGTAAAAAATATCTTACGATTGATTATCTAAAAATTCCTCACATTAAATTTAATTAGTAATATGGGGCATTAAAAATCTTTCCACATCATATGACCAAAATTTTAACCAATCAGATTGCTCTTAAAAGTTGATGTCGCACATCTGAAATATGTGCCAGGTTTGTGGCGCAACTGTGGCGCATATTGCCTAAACTACGAATCAGATTTCAAGATCAGGTATAACATAATACGATCAGAAAAATTCAAAGCAAACGTTTGTTTTGTCAAAAATCGCTTGTTTCTCGAAAATCTGTATAAGAAACCAGCTTTATTGCTCTAACAAAAA